ATATATATATATATATATATATATAAATTGTCACGCAGTAACATTTAACAAAAATGACACTAGTTTTTGATTGGACCAAATTAAATGATAGTTTTAGAAAGTACCGGTAAGTATTGAGAAATGCCGTAATTTATTACACTTTTCCTTCTCAGTAACAGTGGCCCCTCTGTACTCACTGAAACCATTTCCATCTAGCTGCTTCTCCCCTCACCACACTACAGTAGAGACTTCACTTTCCAAATCTTGCGGCCATTTCCCAGGCAACATCATTCTTCTTGAGCTGTTGGACATTCTGTTGCTTTTGACTGTTGACACCCCTGTTCTCCTAAGGCTCTGATACTTTTTGTCTCCCTGCCTGACCCGCTCCTCTCTTGTGGCTGTTCTTCAAGGGCCAGACTTTAGGAGTCTTCTTTTCAACCTCCACTCCTGTTTCAACTCTTACATGTACGCCAATGAATCTACTGTGTGTAAAAGTCTGGATTAGGCACTCTGTTTTTATTGACAATTTTTAGCATTCTACATTTATTCATTAGTTATTCATTCAAAAAGTATATTTTTTTCAGAGCTTACTATGTGCCTATGTATGTGCTAGCTGCTGAGAATAGAAATGAGAACTGCATCTTAAAGATGAATTTCCACTTGAGGAAGATAGAGGAAACAGCGTATGCAAAAAAAAAAAAAAAGTCAGGGAGGCATTAAAGAGCTGCCATATTTGGGAGGGCCTGTGAATGCTTCAGAGGCCCTGGTGGCACAGTGATTAAGAGCTCCGCTGCTAACCAAGAGTATGGTAGTTCAAATCCATCAGCTGCTGTTTGGAAACCCTATGGAGCAGTTCTACTCTGCCCAGTAGGGTCACTATGAGTCGGAATTGACTTGACGGCAGTGGGTTTTGGATTTTTGTGAATGGTTCAGTGCATGGAGTGGAAGTGAGATTAGGCTGCATAGGCTGGGTGGTTGGGGCCAGATGGTAATAGGCCTTGGGAATGGTGTGTTAAGGAGTTTGAACTTATCCTGAGGGCAAGGGGAAGAAACTAAATGCATTATGCAGGGTAGAGACATGTTTGGATTCTATTTTGGAAAGGTTACCCTAGCTGTAGCATAACCAAGAAATTGGAGAACAGATGGAGCTGGACTATACTTTAGGCAAAAGATTGTACTAACCTCTTGTAAGCTACTCTGGCCCATTTAGTAAACAAAGTCAAAGACTCTGAGAATGGTCCTTAAGGTTTACGTAAGAGTGTGCTGCCCCAGATTCTTAAATTTATCATGTAACATCTATATGACTTTGTTGATCAACTCTGTAAAGGGATCAAATAACCTTCTTGGAGTTTGGTTATTTGCAGAAGTGGATTCTGATCATCTAATGACTCCACTGAGATGTTAAGATGTTAACGCTCCTTACAGTGTTGGCAATGTCTGGAGTAGGTCAACTCTGGCAGGAGTCCCCCCCTCCCCCCCAGATGCTTTTGTGTACCCTCAGGGTCCTGTGGAGTAGGAAGTTAACCTGGGTCAGATGGTCTGAGATTCTTTAAAAAATTGTATGCTCGACTCTGTATAGTTACAGTTCTTGCTGTTGTTAGGTGCTATTGAGTCAGTTCCGACTCATAACAACCCTATAGGACAGAATAGAACTGCCCTTTAGAGTTTCCAGGGAGTGGCTGATGGATTTGAATTGCTGACGTTTTGGTTAGCAGCTGAGCTCTTAACCACTATGCCACCAGGGCTCCCTAGTTACAGTAGCAAATGGTATAAATTTTCTATACCCTTGAAATTCCATCCTCAAGCTAGGATAAGATTGCATTTCTTAAGGTAAAATAATAGACACCAGGACATTACAATCTCGAAACTTTTGATTACTCAGTATGTGAGTGGGCATGGTGGGGAGGGCTGGTAATGCTTCCTCTTGCATTACTGTGCTCTCATGTTACAGAAATCTGCACTAACAAGTGAAAACAGCATATTAAATATCAATACATAAAATGAGATCTTAAAGAGGTAGCTCTTCAGATTGTTTTAGAATAATTTCTGTGGTTGAAATAAAAGCTGCCTATGTGCCAAACTGTGCCTGATTCCAAAGGGTTATTGTAGTTGCTATGGTGTGTGCAAACATACTCCCTGCCCATCTTCACTCCTCCTGCCTTTGTCAACATACTTCTACATTCTTGAGGATTTAATCTAACTGGTAAATGTATAGAGAACAATTTTCTTTCCTTTATCTCTTTAGTAGCCAGGCTATGCTGCAGTAATGAATTAACCCCAAATCTCAGTATCTCACCATAACAATTTATTTCTCATTCACGTTAAGTCTGATGGCAGCTCTCCTTCATTGGCTTGCTTCCAGGTGCCCTCTGTGGAGGAGCTATCTCATCACTTGACCTTTAAGAGCTTTACTGCAGAGGAAGAGAGAGAAAGAGCAAAGAATTTTTGCTGCTGTTAAATTACACATATCACTTCCACTCATTTTCCATTGGCCAGAATTTGTTACACGGCACCAATCTAACTTTAAGGAGTCCCCGGGTGGTGGCAAAGGTTAAATGCTAGACTACTAGCTGAAAGGTTGGCAGTTCAAACCCACGCAGAGGCACCTCGGAAGACAGGGCTGGCAATTTGCTTCTGAAAGGTCACAGCCATTGAAAACCCTATGAAGCAGTTCTACTCTGCACACAAGAGGTCGCTGTGAGTCGCGATTTGTTAGTCGGCAACTAACAATAACAATCTAACTATAATGGAGCTAGGGAAGCAAGTGAAAACATACAGAATATTTGATTGGTGTTACTGTTTCTGCCACATTTACTAATGATGAACTCATGACAACGAAAGAAAATGATAAGTGATTAAGGGGGGTTGTTTTCTTTTTAATAGAGAGACTATCAACTTTTTTAATTTGACTTTTCTTGTTTTTATATTAATGTAAATGTCATCATTGTTTGCTATTTAAGGAGAATAGGTAATGAGCAATGGAAAAAGGAAGCCTAATAGGAATTTTAATTAAGGGTCAAGACCCTATAAAATCTGGTGGAGAAGACTCAAGTTTAGGAATAGAATAGTAGGTATGAGGGAACCATTGGGTGGAGAATCTTGGATGATCAGGCTCTCAAGAGGGAAAACAAAGCCAACAAAACAGAACTGCTTGCCATCAAGTCAATTCCCACTCATAGCGACCCTATAGGACAGAGTAGAACCGCCCCATAGGGTTTCCAAGGAGTGCTGGTGGATATGAACTGCCAGCCTTAACCACTATGCCACCAGGGCTCCATGGGGGGAAATAGCTGACTGTTAATAAGGTCGAGGATGCTCAGAAGTAAAAGGAAGTGAAAAGAACCAAAGGATTGGTGGTCATTCTGGATAGGGACCACAGGAGTGCAAAGCAGAGCAGGATAGTGACTAGTGTGGAGAGAGTCGTTGCAGGACAGAAAGGGGAAATTTTGTCTAATTTTGGAGGTTAGACAAAATTTAGGCTCAATAGATCAGGAGCTTTGCTTTGGGCAAAAGAATGGCGACATTGAGGGCATGGGAACAAAACCACTATCCCGTTGCTCTCCTTACTCAAACTACCAAGCTTCTTGAAATAGTAATTTGTCTTCATTGCCTTTGCTTCTTAAACTCCCGTTTATTTCTCAACCAGTGCAATCTGGAAATGCCTGAAGTTGTCTCCACACCATTCTGTTATAACTGCTTTCATAATGATTACCAGAGGCCATTTGATAGTAGGTCAAATCTTTTTTTTTTTCCCCAATCCTTATCTGCTTGATTTCTCTGCAGCAATCTGGTCAAATTTTATGGTTTCAGCTACTTTCCAGATGCTAGTGACTCCCAAATCTATCTCCAGCTTGGACTTTCTCCAGAGCTCCTGACACGTGGCTGCTCCAAGGCCCCTTTAACCCAACAAATGGAACTGATTATCATCTCTACAGTCTTACTGGTTTTTCTTCTGTGGCCCCTGGCTGGGCAATGGCATCACAATCCACCCTGTGGCGCAAGTCAGAAAGCTGGGACTCCTTCTTCTCCATCTCTATCACACCTCACAATGGGTTCAT